TTTTTTTGTAGTTTGTCATATATATTAATTTTTATTTCAGTTTTCGTGAGAAATGATGGCAAACTTGGTGAAATAAAATTTATTTCAGCTAACGTTTATATTATATTATTATTATATATTATAGTAAAGAGAATGTTTTTTTATGGTTTTAGTTTACTAATAACCCTTGCAGGTAGTCTATCAGTAACTAATCATAATATTTGACCAATATACTGTATTAACAATGGTCCAATATACTTGTATGGACATGCAAGAACAGATTGTGCACACTGATAAAAGTAGATTAATAATATTTAATTCCTCACTAACCATGATACTCTTGTAGAGGTTTCCGTTTCCCTGTTCAAGGCTTACTCGGATGATGCACGCATCCTGAGCTTGTGTGTTATAGGCAGGAGGAAATCCAGATGATGTGGGGGACATGGGCGTCAACGAGATCGAGTGGCGGTACATGCAGGGGGGCCCGGGAAGGGTCGGGGAGGCCAGAGATATGCAAGCGCTGGCTGTAGAAGAGGAGGTGTCCATGGAGTGCAATGAGGTGCAGGAGGAAGAGTCGGACAGCTACGGTAACCAAACAGATGTGTATTTAATACATTATTTTAATACAATAGTATATCAATAATTTGGTCATGAATTAAGATGTTTGTACCTTCTTCAGATGAGTGTCTATAGAATGTGTGGGTGTCATGCCTTCACTCTCTGAAGGACTTGAGTCACTGGAAGACACACTGACAGAGTCCATGCTCTCCCCAGAGCTGCCAGTAGGAGGCGATCGAGGGCTCTCTCTTACAGGAGAGCTTGTGTTGGTGGCGTCTATTCCTAAAAAGAGTCTAGTGAGGTTGGAAGGACAAAAACAGACATAAATTAATTATTAGAATTTGTCATCCTCTTTGAATATGCAATATAATTCAAAAGTTTGTGGTCGGTACGATTGTGCTCTAAAAATGCAGTAAAAACTGTAAAATTGTTTTCTATTTTCATATATTTTTAAATAACTATATTTTAATATTTTATTCCCGTGATGGCAAAATGTGCTTAATTTTAATTTAACTTTTATTAGCATAAATTACGTCAAAGTTCACAGACATGGACTATTGAGTCACAGATCTGTAATTTTGATTTAATGGGGTCCTAAGAATAAAATATTATCAATTTAGGCATCAAGATTTTGGTTTTAGGTAACTCACAGGCTTAATCTCTTCACCATACTCTTGCGGGGTTTCGGTGACGTTGGGCTGTTGTCTCCCAATCCTTCAACTTCACAAGACAGCGCATAGCTGCAAGAAATATTATCTTTGAGACTTACACAATATTCAGATGAAAAAAGGCATGTAAAGGGAAAAATGTGTGTACCTCTCCTCCTCTGAGTACTGTGGCTGACTTTTAAACCAGCGCAGAAATGCGGGATCAGGGGTCAGACAGTAACTATTGCACGCAGACTGCAGGAGCTTAATCTGAGCGATCACTTCAAACTCCTGCAAAGAGAGATTTTATTCAACATTCCCACAGATCTGAATGCCTATAGTAATGAATAAGAGATTCAACAGATGTTTTGACTATAATAAAAACCAAATAATAAGGAACGTTGTACTTACTCTGCGCCGCTTTTCGAAATTGAGCAGTCCTCCCTGTGAAGCACAGAAATAGACTTTAGCCCAGATTCTCCTCATCATTTTACTCATGAAAGTTTTGATTAAAGTTCTTGGGAATCCAAAAGAAGGTCAAATAAACCTTGGTAATGAAAACCTCAACAGTCTGGGAATTTTAGGTTAGTAATAACAGAGATAATTCTTTATGAGGCTTTCATTTTGTCTGGAAATGTGTGGTTGGATG